AAGCTGCAGCCGCCTGAGGCTCTCTACAGAGCGCTCGGGCGGCTGCAGCATGGGGGTGCCGGGGGGCTGGTCATGGCACCCCCCATCCTGGTGGCACCCGGGGCGGACCGCCCCCCCCTTAGTACGCCACTGGTGTGAAGGGGCTGTAGAGCGTGTGTTCAGGGAACGTAGTGTGTGTTTTGCATACAAGGGATCTAGAGTGTTTATAGGGTATGCAGAGTGTGTGTATAAGGGATGTAGTGTCTAAAGGATTTGCCATGTGTGACTGTGTTGGATGGTGTAGAGCAGGCTTCCCTAAACTCTGGCCCTCCAGATGTTGCTGAACTACAACTCCTGTGATTCTATGAATGAAATAGATAGGCTGAGAATCATGGGAGATGTAGTTAAGCAACATCTGGAGGGCTGGTGTAGAGCATATCTATTGGTGGGGGTGGGAGGGGGGGAAATATGCATTATTTGAAGAATTATTTTTTTTTTATGATTTCTAAAAGGCAACAAAAGTACAAAAGTTTATTTCCCACTTTCCTTCTTCTTACCTTTTTTTCTCAGGAAGGGGGGACATTGCAAATCATGGTGGCCCAGTAAGGGTGAATGACTGTTGCCTGCAGCTCCTCCGGTTGCTCCCCTCTTCCCCCCCCCCAAAACAACATAATAATAAACAAACCTTAATAAATGAACCCCATAAAATACAGACGTAGACATGGGGAAAAAAACAAGCAAGAAAAATACTGTCTACAAAATTTAATAATCTCATTCTTCATCAATAACTGTATTCCATTTTATGTCTGTAAACTCTTTCAGCAAGTTGGCTACTTTTCCTAATGTTTTGGGTTGCTCCCCCATCACAAATATGTATGATTGCAATGCTGTTGGTGTAATGCAGGGCAGTGTAATGTGATAAAACAATATTAGAGTGGGGGGCTGCATTCGGTGTGGGAGGCGTTAGTAAAAGATAGATGATCTGAACACCAGGAGGAGTACAGCCCAGCTCCCTGCAGTTGCTTGAAAACACAGTCTTTCTATTTTCTTTACAACCACATTGTTCTCGAGTCTTCTGGAACACTGTGTACTATCAGAGTTCAGGGCTAAGAATGTTATTGACCAAAAGGAGGATCCTTCCACAGCCCGGCCCATTCATTTCCTCCTCAGACTGTACTGAGCACAGAGCTGGATGTAGTGTAAACAACTGCTGTCCACTGTGGAATAAAACTCCTATCTCACTCAGCTCTGCCTAGCCAGCTCTTATAGCTTTAAGCTTGCTGGAGTTTGCGCACGATGTATAGAGACAAGGCATTCCATGCAAATTAACATACTTTGCCCTTGGTCTTAAGAAACAATAATAATTATAATAACAATGAAATAGCCTTTTTTCATTGCTTGCACAGTCTTACCAGTGTTGAAGTAGAGTTTTACAAAGTGGGGTAGGGCTTACAAATCAATGGAATAATAGATTAAATATATAACCAACCAGAACCATATACTGGTGGCCAGGGGGGTCACACAAAATAACTACTATGTATTCCAATTGAATTCTTCCGGGTAATCCAGAGCAGTTATACGAAAAAGATGCTGTTGACATACTACTTTGAGATGTTACCCGTACCAAGAATTACAGAATCGTACATAGCTCCTGATGAGACTGAAATTCCTAAGAATGGCCGAACATGCTAAGAGTTTTTATGATTTAATTAGCTGAGAAATATATGACCATGCGTAATTTCTAACATTTTGTAGAAATCTCTATCCTCTGTCTCATTTTTCATTTTGCATCGTGATCCGCAACCATACTTAAAAGAGAAAATACTAATAAAATAGTAAAATATGAAATATTTAATTTTGGGAATATAGAGCAAATTTTTTTTCCACTTTGACAATTTGATGAAATTAAAATAATACGAAAACACGCACAGGGCTATTTTATCTAATGATGATAGATTAGGGTTCAGGAGTTCATTGTGTTTTATGGTTAGTAATTGGGAATGTTCCTAATTTTCACAAAGAGACAAAGACTACAGACCTCTATATACTTGCCATGGCTTGTTTCCGCAATATATACCCATGATGCTCAGCCAGCCATTTGGTTTTAGTATATACTTCTCATGATACTCAGCCATCAAGAACTATAAGGATTTATTATCTAAACCAGCAATTATGGACAAATGGAAAATGAAACAAATGGAAAATGTTAGACAAAAAATATCTGTACTGGAAAAATCCCTAACACAGCTATTCTTTCATCTCAGCTATTTAGACTTATAATGTGGAGATCCCTTGTCAATCCTTCACAATTCCTAGTTTAGTAAATAACAACTAGAATCTATGTTAGCCAGTGTGCCAAGGATCGCTAGTAGGTAAAGCCGTCTTATAGTGATGTAATACATTTCAGGTATAGGTGCAATTGGTATGGTATGGGTTTTCAATTACAACCACTATGGCATACTGTTTTGTCCAATATTTAAAGGGACACTATAGTGTCCCTTTAAGAGTTGCAGGTTTTGATGGCCTAATTGAAACATTTTGTAATATGTGCCAGAGTTGTTGTACTAAAAGATGTACGTAGATACAAAAAAGCATTAAGAAAATTAGGATTCAGCAGTTATATTGTGTAACAATATCAGTAAGTTTATGCACAAAAAATAATAATTATAGTGAATTAAAAACGCATTTGAAAAATTCAGGCTAAATAGCCAAACCTGTATTCCTAACACATTAGTGTTTCTGTCCCTATTTAAAAGCAGGTTGTCGTCCATCACTCCATTTGCCCTATTTTCCATATTAAATAAATGAATTTAGCTTTTTCCAGCACTGATAACTCTCCACCTACCTCGACATCATGGAGGAGTAATTACCTCCTCCGCCGATGTCCAATCAATTGGGTACCAATGTAAATGCATGGCGAGTGCTGCACTTGCATCCAAGCTTCTCCATAGGACAGCACTGAATCAATATGTGTACACCCTGTTCCAAATTATTATGCAAATTCTATTTAAGTGTCACAAAGATTAAATATTTTGTTTTTCAGTTTAACTCATGGATGGCATTGTGTCTCAGGGCTCTTTTGATCACTGAAAACAATCTCAGACACATTGGCGGATCCAGGGGGGGGGCAACGGGGCAATTGCCCCCCCCGAGAAATCCGCCGGTCTCCCTCCCCTGCCAGCCGTGCAATGTGCCTGCGGACCGGGGAGGAAGATCACAGATCTCCCTCCCCGGTCCGCAGGCACTGTGCTGGCAGCCGGCGGCGGAGGGAGGGAGTGAGAGAGGACCCGGAGCTCAGGCTGCAGCTCCTCCGGGTCCTCCTCTCGTGAGATTTGGAGCGTTGCCGCGGTTACCACGGCAACGCTCCAAATCTCGCGAGAGTGAACTCTAGCCCGGGAGCGCGGGCTAGAGTTCACTCTCCCCACTGGGACCACCAGGGAATCACCACTGGGACCACCAGGGATCGAAATATGTCCCCCCTCCTCCCCAGTAAAGGTAAGAAGGGAGGGGGGACATAGAATATTTGTTTTATTAAATAAAATAAAAATAAAAATTATTTAAAAGCCTCCTTCCCCCCCCCATTACACACACTGCCCCACAAGCACTGTCCCCATACACACACTGCCCCACAAACACTGTTCCCCATACACACACACTGTCCCAAACACTGTCCCAACACACACACTGCCCCACAAACACTGTCCCCCATACACACACTGCCCCACAAACACTATCCCCATACACACACTGCCCCCCATACACACACTGCCCCACAAACACTGTCCCAATACACGCACTGCCCCCATACACACACACTGCCCCACAAACACTGTCCCCATACACACACTGCCCCACAAACACTGTCCCTGACATACACTGCCGCACTCACACACTTCACCCTTAACACACACCACTGCTCCTATACCCTATATCCCAGCAGACCCCAGGTAAGTTGTCAAACTGTTCTTAAACGGTATGACTACTTACTCTTGGGTGGAATCCTGGCACTACTGACACCATAACTACTACACTGAGCTGTAGTGGTTATTGTGCCTGGATTATTTATTTAAATAATCTACAAGTGCCCCTCCCGAGATCAGGCTCTGGATCCGCCACTGCTCAGACACCTGTGATAATTAGATTGCCATGTGAGCCCAATTTAAGGAAAACTTTCTAAAGGAGGGTGTTCCACATTATTAAGCAGAGCACCATTTTCATGCAATATGGGGAAGACAAAGGATCTCTCTGCTGCCGAAAAGAGTGAAATAGTTCAATGCCTTGGACGAGGTATGAAAACATTAAATATTTCACGAAAACTTAAGCGTGATCATCGCACTATTAAGAGATTTGTGGCTGATTCAGAGCACAGATGGGTTCGTGCAGATAAAGGCACATTGAGGAAAATTTCTGCCAGATCCATGCATCGGATCAAGAGAGCAGCTGCTAAAATACCATTACATAGCAGCAAACAGATATTTGAAGCTGCTGGTACCTCTGGAGTCCCACGGACATCAAGGTGTAGAGTCCTCCAGAATCTTGCAACTGTGCATAAACCTTCTATTCGGCCACCACTAACCAATGCTCACAAGCAGAAACGGCTGCATTGGGCAGAAAAATACATGAAGACTAATTTTCAAACAGTCCTGTTCACTGATGAGTGCCATGCAACCCTGGATGGTCCAGATGGATGGAGTAGTGGATGGTTGGTGGACGGCCACCCTGTTCCAACAATGTTGCGACGTCAGCAAGGCGGTGGTGGAGTCATGTTTTGGGCCGGAATCATAGGAAGAGAGCTGGTCAGTCCCTTTAGGGTCCCCGAAGGTGTAAAGATGACCTCTGCAAAGTATGTGGAGTTTCTGACTGACCACTTTCTTCCCTGGTACAGAAGGAAGAACTATGCTTTCCATAATAAAATTATCTTAATGCATGACAATGCACCATCTCATGCTGCAAAGAATACCTCTGCATCAATGGCTGCTATGGGGATAAAATGAGAGAAAGTCATGGTGTGGCCCCCATCCTCCCCTGACCTCAATCCTATTGAGAACCTTTGGAGCATCCTCAAGCAAAAGATCTATGAGGGTGGGAGGCAGTTTACATCCAAACAGCAGCTCTGGAAGGCTATTCTGACATCTTGCAAACAAATTCAAGCAGAAACTGTCCAAAAACTCACAAGTTCAATGGATGCAAGACTTGTGAAGCTGCTATCAAATAAGGGGTCCTATGTTAAAATGTAACATGACCTGTTAAAATGTTTAAAAAGTTAAAATGTTGTTATAAGTTTGATTGAAATAGCTTTTGATTTCAGTAAATATGCTGCAAACACAACAAATGACAATTTTCAGTTCTTTACAACCTATAAAGTGTTTTGAAACTTACTGTGCGTAATAATTTGGAACAGTGCATTGTAAGTTTTTATGTTTAAAAAAAATACTGTTATCATTAGGAGGTTTGTTCAATAAAATTTGAATTGTACTCTTAATAGTTGATAACATGAGAATTATGCTGACTGTTATTTACATCAATTATTTAGGTAAATGAGAAAAAATATAATTTGCATAATAATTTGGAACAGAGTGTATTCATATTCACATAGTATGACAGCCAGTAGAGGAGGATTGAACCCTGCAATTTATACAATGTATTACACTGCAGGAATACAAGGACAGGACCATTGCACTCAGCCACTACATTGAGATGTGATCCTTTACATAGCTGAGTTGAAGACATTTTCCAAATCAACATATTTTGACAAAAGTTTGCAATTGGGCTTTCAAGCCACAGAAATATGTTTAGTGAGTAAAACCCCCAGGAGTAAATAAGGAAATAGATACATTGTTGTAATTGTCTGATTACCATACCAGTGGCTCACACCAAATCCTCCAGAACTAAACATGGTTGGCAAGTTATAACTCCTATCAGCCTCAGCTGAGCTAGGGAGCACTATTAGTGAGCCAGACGATTTCTGCTCCACTAATATTAAGAAAAATAAACAATATCAGATGAAATTCTAAAATCTTACACACAGGCATGTCATTAGAAGTGTAAACAAGGAGATGGCCCCAGGCCTGTGTTGATGATTTGAGCTTTCTAAGAAAGTTGGTCACATGGTTTGAAATGTTGGCTCTGGGCCTGGAGTTCTGAACATTCCATGTATGCTGAGTAGCGCTCGGCATTGGAACTCTCAGTGCTACTATGGGATGACGGGCACAGCACGTTGGGGAAACATTGGAAACATATGTCCACTGCTCCAAGGACAATACTATGAGTCATTTTTGGAATTTACTTATGCTGTGCTTGTTCTGCTGATGCAATCTATATTACAGAAGTTCACTGTACTGTGCTTGTAGCGGATTGTTTCAGTAATGTGTCAGTAATTTGTTAAATATTGGATGGAATTAGTTCATTGTTCTACTGGTAGAAGAGAGAATAATGTTTTCAGCTGGTTGAGATACCTTTCAGTGGCCCACACATATTAAAATATACTGTCCGCAACCAAACTCTAAAGCCTTAGAAATCTCTACTTTAAAATGACTCCAAACTTCTAATGACAGTAATTGAGAACTTTGCTATGTTAAGGAACATTATAGCGTTCCGAATACAAAATGCTCTCCTCCTAGTATTCCCCTACCTATGTAGGAGTCACTCCCTACATGTGAGGGTTTGAAAGATGAGTTTCGCTTACCTTTCTTCCCTCACTGTGCTGCTTGCCACTCTGCCTCCCTGGCTGAGATCTTCACAGTTGATCATTGATAAATCTCAGGTTCTCAGCAAATCCAATGCTTCACTGTAAGGAAGCATTGAGAGGCTAGTGCGCATGCACAGCATAGTATTTGATTGAGAACCGGGTCAGTGTCTCTAACGGTTGTCATGAAGACAGCCGCTACAGGTGTGTTTAACCCCACAATAGAAACATTACATGGTTAAAATTACTTCTTTAAGATGGAGTGGTCTGGAGGCCTTTAGTGGTCCTTTAATATTTAATGCCACCTTTTTTATTTGTCTTATACTATTAGAAAGCTTGCAACACATACACTATTCTGCCTTGCTGGTTCTTGCTTAAAGGTGTAAACACCACATGTCAAAGCAAGAGAAAACACTTACTAAACCTTGAATTTTTCAAGTCCATCTACTGCTCTGCCATCAGTACTCCTCTAGCTGTTGAATGTGTGCAGCTAGATCTGTTACAGTGCAAGGGGCTAAATAAAGAGGGAACAAAATAGCAATGAACAGATTTCCAAAAAAAACAAACCAAACACTATAATCCCTATATATCTTGATAACTATGTACAGCGTCGTAGTCTGTGTTTCAAGGTTGTCGTGCGAGGGTTGGTCGAGTTAATTTATAGCAAGGTATGGTGTGGGAGAGAAGATAGAGGGAGTAGGGGGGCGGGGCGGCTATCCGGGGTCACCACCGCACGTGACCCCAGCCAGGTGAGGGAGGGTGGGGCGGGGGGATCCAGGTCGGTTGTGTGTGCGTCTATTGGTTTGTGTTCAGCCCGTCCCCCTACTCTCATATACTCCCCATATATATATTTATTTTTTACATATGCTATTTTTGACATTTTAATATTTTTTTGGGGGGGAGTGGGGAGTCATTTAAAAGTTTATCAAAAAGTAATAAATCATTTGAAAAGCTTATCCAAAAATACTAAATCCAGGCCATACTGTGAAAGGTCTCTTACACGGTCATAATGAGAGAACATGTCTTTGACTTGTTTGGAATCGTGACCTGAGGCTATTGCAATATTCAAACTAACAAACTAAAGTTAACTGCGGAATATAGAAATTAAACTGTGAAGGGTGTATTTACTAAACGGTGAAGCAATAGCCTTTCAGTTTGCAAACCAGAGGATGGAATTCCAGAGCCGGAAAAGTTTAACAATTTTTCTATATTCCCCACTTGTGAATGTGGCCTCTGTAAACAAATCTTGATTGTCCCATCCATTACTTGTTTGTCAGTCCCTAAGTGTGACCACTCGGGACTCTTAGCTCTTTGCCTGTTATACGTGCATTCTGTGTAGCAGACTTGGCTCAGTAGGAGTCTTTTTGTTTGCGCGTTAAGAATGTTCAGTGATTTGTTTTTAAAACCTCATCTTGACGACCAATTTCATGCCCGGTTTGCTGAAGATAAAAATTGGTTAGAAAAACTAAATATATATTAATAAATGTTTGTTTTTTTCTCCCAGAATAGGTCTGCCACTCTTTAATGTCTAATCAGGGATATTTATAAAAATAAAATGCATTTTATAAGCATTCTTGATTGGAGAAAAAAAAAAAAAGTCCTCCCAGGAATAATAATAAACTAAAAAGCTTTGCAGTTTAACATAATGTCTATTGTAATTTTCCTTACTTCTAAAAAAAACTAATCGACACAATTTTTTCCTTACCCACAAAGATTGAGGGGCTGAGACGTGATACAATACAAATGACAAGTATAATTTCCTACACTTATCGAGCAAGACAGAAAAAGCATGTTTATGTCACACTGTACAGAACACCTGGCATTTTTATACACAATTCATAATGATCAGTTTGTTTTCACAGGTTTAACAACCATAATCTTGTTATTTCTGGTTTTAGTTAGTGTGGATGAAGCTAAAACTGTGTTTTAGAAAGGGCAGGGGTCCTTGCCACACATCAATCTTTCATTCTGTTACTAGAAGGACTAAGACTGTAGACACACTAGATTAGAACACACTGTTTGTGTTTCTCTCATGCTTTAGAACACTATGTTCTTAAAGAACACAGCGTAGCTGAGCCTAGGCACGTCAAACTATGACACTCCTACAGGCCTGGCCTCCTGATCCAACCATACATACTGCTGTAAACAGGCTGCCTTCTCTGTATGGGAATTCCTTCCAAGCACAATTGTTGGAAGTCCTTTAACCCCTTAAGAACACATGACGTGTGACATGTCATGATTCCCTTTTATTC